CCCAAGAAACTCGATCCTTGGTCCCATGCCTATGAAACGTTACGCTTACCTCCACTCCAAGCCGCCATTGCTTGGCCGCCGGCGACCATGGCTTTTGTGGTTTCTCCTGTTGACGCTCTCCGGAGACCACCTCCATAACTTCGTTCAGAGAATCGTTTGGCAGATTTTGGATACAGATTTGAAATCAGCACCAAGAAATACGCTTGCAGTATAGGTCCCATTTCAAATGGCCACTTCGACTTGGGATCCTTCCCTTGTGAGTCAGAAACAAAGATTATTCCTGCAATCACTTTCAAGATTTCCTCAAAAGGAACCGTTCCAAAACAGGTTTCCGGAAGGAGGAAGAGTTTCATTAGAAGCACCAAAAAACAGCAATTGCCGTGACCCTACGACTACGACACGTTCGCGTTGATGAAGAGCACCAGGGAGCACCCATTGCTTTTAGAAAAGAATAAGATGGATTTTTGTGGGCCATTGAGAGGTAGCAAAGGACTAAGGAGCACGATTTCGAAACCTGAGATGGCATTAAAAGAACAAAAAATCGTAAAACATAGTCACATGCGTGTGGACGGGATCAGCTAGTACCGCCCACACTCCCCATTGGTGCGCGGGCTAACCTTTGACGCAGGTAACTAATAAGGCATGGAACTATCGCCGAATACCTTCTTTCATACATCTCCCACACCCGGGAGCTCTTTGCGATCAAATAGACCCCACGAAAACCTTAACAGTTCCAAGTTACTCGCTCTCATTGATTGTAATCCCCTATCGCCTGAGTGTTGAGAGATCTCGTTTCCGTGTTGCCACTCCAATGCTACGCCCTCATGGGCGAAATTCAGGGCAACTTCTTCCATGCAAGTGCATTTACATTTACTCTCGTACGATTTTTCTTGCAAGTCGTATGTCACACTGTCGACCTCCTACAAAATCCAGAAAGCTTGCCATCCCGAAAGTGCCTACATCCCGAACTATATGAATATTTTTTAGAGCAACTTATTGAAAACACCTCACCCTCCTCTCCAGATCGTTTTTACTCGGTAACAGCCTGTTTTAGCTTCAGCTTGCAATCCTGTCAGTCCCAAACCCATCAAAAGACCCCCTTTACACCTTTCAAATCTTACCAATTTATCGACTTCATCAAGAAGAATTAATGGATTATTGCTGCCTGCATGCTTCAAAGCTTGAATAATTCGTCCACACATTGCTGCCACATATGTCCTACGATGACCACGAATATCACTCTCATCACGAATGCCACCCAAAGAGATCCTGAAGAACACAATAGAAGTCAGGCTGAGCTATTTATCAGCGATCCTTTTCTCATACCGCAGAGCTAGTCTTGGAACCGAACTTTTGTTCAGCAGATGTGTAAAAAGCAGAGCTCGCTCTCATGTTTTCTATGAAAGTTCTATTCCATGGTGATTTTACAAATTGATTTTTAAGCAGTAGAAGTAGACATAACAGTAAACGACAAACAATCTATAGAAAACCTTTCAAAATTGCGTCCAAGCGACTGAGCAATGGCTTTTGCAATACTCGTCTTTCCAATACCTGGAGGTCCAGCGAAGCATAGTATTGGTCCTGTGACCTGAAAATTGGACTCCATATTGCCAACGAAGGAGAAATTCTTGAATCAGTCGAGTCACAGACCGAATCGCTGAGTTTTCGGACAGCAAGATACTCCAGCACTCTTTTCTTTACGTCTTCCATCCCGCTATGTGATGCATCGAGCAATTCCCTGGCCTGTAAAGGTAACACTTATTCTTTTATTTATTAACCAGTTGCTTCGCCCGACTGTCGCCGGGCTTCCCTCCTTCTTTGACAAAGTTGTAGTAATCGGCTGACTCTCCACTCCTTTTTTGGAACAATTAATAGTTTTATGTACACGAAATTCGACACAGGACTAAAAGAACAGTGCAAATGGTATACCGTGAAAGTCGATGCTTACGCATTTGATTGGAAGTGTCGATCTTCTGCTCTGTTTCTTAAAAAGAGATACTCATCAAAAATTGAACCGTTAGACAACCAAAGATGATGCTGTGGAGATGTTCTGAGCGATGATAGCACCGTTATCAGATGTTCTTTATCAATGAACCCTTTTCTTTACGGGGATATCATTAGTTGAGAATTCGAACTTAGTGGCAGTCGGTTAAGTTCCTTGCAAATGATATCGAAGAGGGAGGATTCTTCATTGAGTCACAAACTTTGCGGGTAGCTGTCGTAATCAGACAGCAAGAAATGAGCAAAGATCTAGTCTGCTTATCAAAGATCTAATATTTAATTGCCAATAATGGGTCCCTATCACTGCACATACCACTCATTTTTTTCACCCGACTCTAGCATCCAGTCTTATCGAATCAATTATACTAAACGGTCAATGCTAG